TCATCGTATCGAATGCTTGTGTTAATTGTATACTGTGCACAATGTAGCACGTTACTGTTAAAACTTGCGAATCACCTATTACCAGCATATTGATACTTCATTCCCAGCCTGGATGTACGTGGATATTTCCAAGTAGATATCTTCCAAATAAAACACTTTGGGGCAAGCTTAGGGGACTTTCTGAAGGGGAGGTGTGATGCATTTTCCCGAGATTTTCGCATTGGGTTGCCTCTAAATTGCCCAAAAATCTTTCAAATGGGTCTCAGTCTTTGTATTTCCTTTCCTTGTGTCTCAGCTTCATTACGTCTTGTAGCTATGGCTTGAAGAAGTCAGAACTGAATACATGCACATTTCCTGTTCTCACAGTTCGTGTATGTGCATTGTCATCGTTATGACTGATTGTATATAAAAATCAGCTCGTGGCCTTCAATACACTGTATTGTAGGCATGTCACGGATACACTGTCAAAAAGGCAAGTTGTAGATTTCCTTCAGTAAGAGTTGATTTCCATAACTAGTTCCGTATGTAAGTTCCCAGGGAAAGAAATGTGTTGCATCTATTTCGTGACGTCTGCCTACAAGACTGTCTGCTTGCTAATTGGGCAAGGCGGAAGTCCGTGGTTGAAAGCCAAATATCTAGTTTACACAGACCCCCTTGTATAGAGAACAAGAAGTATATGTATGGTTTTGGAGAGCTGAAAACCACTATATTGTCTCGACGTGCAGCTACTGTCAAATCCAGACACAGGCTTAGCATGACACTTAATCTTAAGTGATAGTGTCCGATGATTTGAGAGGAGTGAATTGCTTACATCTTAACCCCACTATGGATAAAATTAACTTCGATGAAGTTTCACAGTGCTATACAGTAATATTTACTGAAGTTTCGGACGCAATTTATTGTTCATAATCACTTCAAGGTACTCACACAACTTTTAACCTTCATCATGTATACATGAGTAGGTATTAACTAGACATACGAATAAAATCAGTAAAAGTTCAATAGACTTGCGTGAAACAAAAAGGAAGATCAAGTGCATTCAGAAACAGCATTAGTGTTATCAATACAATATAATAGGATGGGAAATAATATGCCTTTTAGTAAAATCAATAACTTGTTAGAGTATTATAATGTGGATTGAAATACATTTTACCATTATTTACTATCTTCTGATTTGACTGGTAATAATGTCTTCCATATCTGCGGTATTTGTGTTGAGTCGGTAACTTGTATTGCATGTGTTTGGTGTAGACTCGATGAAACAGGATTCAGTAATCGATATCTCACGCTCTCCACCTACTTTATTACCTTTTAGAATTTTGACTGTGTCCCACTTTATTGTGTGGTTGTGTGTTAATGCATGCAGTGGGATTGCTGAGTCTTCTAAATTACTCATCTGTGTTTGGGGGATCAAGCATTCTAATTTTTGCTTAATTTTTATGTTCTGATGAGCTGACTACTCTTGGTCTACTAGTTTTGACCTATGTAACTGACCTCGCAGTCATTGCGAGGTATTTTATAGATATTGCTGTATAACACTGTGTGATTTTATCAGAATAAGATTTTATCTATAATGGAGTTATACTCTACTAAAGTAGCCAAGTTGTATCCTTATATCAATAATGCTTGTATATTAGTTTAGTGAAGTAATGGCCGGGATGGTTGTAAAGTGCTTAGTGCTGGTATTAAAATTGTTATGACCCTTGTCTGATGGTGTGAAGCTCTGTGTGGCACGCGTGTGCCTGTTTGAAAAGGAGATTATCAAATTCACTCCTCCGAACTTCCAAGGCAATCGGCATTGTCTTTTCAATGCCAGAAAAGCGATGAAAGCTTGTCTCAATCTCTGCCACTGCTCAGTTCTAGTCTCTAAGTTTGTCTTTCACATTTTACAGTCAGGAGTTTATTCGGGCACCCCAAACATATGATATAGTTTTGTTTGACACTATTCAGTGTTTTCTGAACACCTTAAGCGAAAGTCTGGTTATGTGTGGCATGCGATTCGCTCCTGTCAAATGTGAGACGATGCTGCATGACTGGTGTGCGATGACTCCCAGATTAATGATAGGGAATGAGTGGGTTGACCGCTTCACTTATTTGTGAAGCTGCACCAACCCCACTGGACCGATTGCTGACAAAACCTCATCATGGATACAAAAGTCTTGTGATGCATTCGCCAACTTCACCTCTGGCGTAGATGTGGTATGTGACTATCGATCAAAGGATAGGTGTTCAGCGCAGAATTTCGTTCAGTCCCTTCATGGCTGCGAAAACAGGTTGGTAAAAGCTTGATACATGAAGTGGGTGGTTGTCTTTAACTACAGGTGTTTGAATTGTATCTCCCGTGTTTTGTTATTATTTAATGCTATATCCTTGTATTGTGAGTGGAACATAGGGCTCCAGCAGTACATCTATATTTCACGTTCTTCTCTGCAGCCTTTCCCAGCTAGCTCCACGTTTACCCATAAGGTTTCATTTCTTCCTTATATGGTTTCTTCCATGAAACTCTCGGACGCCAAACTTTCCTTTAATTCGAGTTCCACTCGAGAACCAGGTAGGTGATGTTGCTCAACGGTCTTATCGGAGTATGTTCAATCTATCTCCATTTCTTTCGGCTGCATATTTCCTGGACTGTGAGTTCTGGGTTGGTTCTACTCCAGAGATTCTTGTAACTTATCCTTTCTGATCATCTGATGAAAGTCTGCAGCAGCCTGTTGGAAATGATTTTGTTGACTCACTAAGCCTGAGCCATATATAAGCACTGAGTCGACAGTAGTGTTGGAAATCCGGATCTTGTTCTTTATGCTGATTGCAGCAGGTTTCCACACTGATTTCAGAGTAGTTCAGTTCTGTCTTCCTTTCCCAATCCTGGGTTTGACATCCTCATCTGTGCCTCCCGTAGTTGGACCAATGCTGCCTAAATAAGTGGGAGAGGCGTGACTACTTTTAGATTCCTCCGATTGATAGTGACTGGTGTTTGTTGTTGTTGGTAAATGGTGTAATATAGTGAGTAATATTAAGGTTAGACGTAGAACGTTAGGTAAATAGGGCAAGTCAATCGATGAGGTTGTGAAGCTGTATCAATCCAGACTTCAGGGATGCACCGAGCAGTGTTAACGGACATATGATAAGGTCATAAAAGCGTTAGGAGAGGTCAAACCTAAACCTGGCATCAATCGGTGAAGTCTTTGACTATTGGTCTGAGCCAGCCACGTGGGGATGTGTAGAGTGTCTGACTGGGGTCCCCAATTCGCTAAGGGAGAATGGCTTGAAACTGTTACTGATATAGCCCTAAGTTATTCGCAATAGAGTAATTTCATTCACCCTTTGGAATCTTCCAGACCCATTAAGTTCTTATTATTCTCCATGCAAGTATTCTTTCTTCCATACATTTACATTGATTATTGTTTTTCTGAATTTTCTTCTCTACCTTTCCATGCTATATGGGGTGTGACAACTTGAAGTGTAGCATATTTGTGCAAAGTCCTACCTAGGGAAGTCAATGAATCAATTAGGTAAGCAACAGAAATTGAAAACAGCCGCAAAATAATATTTAGTTTATCAAATAGTTACTTAAAGTAATCCCAGTGTGTTTAGGAAATCAAAACAAAATTCTTCTGAACGTTGTTCTGTGTAAGCTACAGCTCCTTCAGCAGAATTATTCGGATTTTAATGATCATCAAACCGATGGTATGGAGATCTCTAATATGAGCAGTTTTGGTCGAAAATGATTATCCGAAAAAGTTTCTGAACAGTATTTCCAATAGAAATGGATGAAGAACGAGGTAAGATTGAAAAATCTTGGGTGTCGACGATAGCCATTCCACATCGAAAAGACATGACTGAACAACCTCAAAGGATACTTGCTTCACATAATGTTTTAGTTTATTTAAATCCCTCTAATTCTTTAGAGGAGGCTTTAGTTAGTGTCAAATATTTGTTTCCTAAAATGACACAGAACTCCTGTGCCTATGGGATAAAATGATTGGAATGTGAAGCTTGCTATATAGAGGAAAGAGATAGAAAGACAAAAGTCAGAGTAGATGAACACAGACTGTGCACAAAACGTCTATGTAGAAACGAAGTCGAATTGAAGAGTCTGGACGGAAGACCAGCTGTAAAAGTGGTCATAAGATCGATTTTGATAATATCGAAATACGTGGTAAAAGGTTTTGATCTAAGATACGGTGTGCTTCCCGCCGCTTTGTTTTCTCACTAGTCTATACTGTCTACTTGTTTCACTACTAACGGTGTTGTATACTTTGGATTTTGCAGGAACCTCTCATCCTCATCCTAAGTCTATTCTACAACCAGTGCAAAGCTTCTACAAGTAAACACGACTCCAGCAGTGAACACTATCGGGGATTATATTAATAATTTGTAGCGGTGGACTTTAACTGATAATATCGAGATACTAGGGAAAGGCTTTAATTCACATTGAGAAAGGTTGACGTCTAAAACCCTGCATAATTTAATCACATCGAATGCAATAAATAGAGAAAGCGAATAGACTGATCAACTGTATGGCGAACTCCGATTAGGCGAGACCGAAGAAAAGTCATCCGTTACTATTTCTGACCTCTGAACAATTATCATGATTTTCACGTGAGATCACGTGTTTTCCAAGCAGCAAACAATGTGTGAGTAATTCCGCCGAACAAGCTGTGGCTTACACAGCGAAATGTTCAGAAAAATCTTGTCGTGGTTATCTCAACACACTGGGATTATTTTAAGAGATTTCATAATGATTCAATCTGACTCGACGCTGAAATTATTCCAGGAAATTCGCAACTTCTCCGAGCTGGTATTTTTAACATTAGTGTGTTTCATTTTCCGAATTGTTTCCCTTATATCCACATATGGAGTCACGTAAAGTTATTTTTTCATCTTGATTATTTACACTGAAGCACAATTTCAACATTTTGTTTTCTGTCTTTACAACATGTGTGCTTTTCCTGCATCAATTTCATGTCATTTCATTTTTCACTATAGGATTTTATAAAATGGCTGATGTCACAGAATCCCGGAGATGTTTCCGTTGTCGTGTTTTATTCAACACTGACGATGAGTTTTGGCATCATATTCTAAATGTGGATTGTGATGATTCAATAAATGCCACTGCGGCTGAGAATTCGTTGCCGGATAGTACACATTCAAACGATGAATCACAATCAGTATGTGCATCAGTTAGTAGCACTCATATTGGTGGTGTTCCTGACTTTGAGAATCATCAGGCAAAGGGGGATTTCGAAATGAACCCCAATTCTCCAGAACAGCAGTTCAAAATAGATTTGGCCACTGAAGCACTTGAAAAAAGTACAAATTCGCCTGCGTTTTTATTCTGTGATGTCTGTCAAGTACCATTCACATCGATTAAAAATAAAGAAGAGCATGAAAATGGCAAAATGCATAAAAAGCAAATTGCATCGAAGTCAAACTGCAGTGATCAATTGAATATCAGTCAGTCATTAAGCGTTATTGATGACGCACAAGAAGATTTGTCGAAGATTCACACTCACTGGCCATCAGAAACACAGAATTCTGTAAATACCAGTTCAACTGTCAACGAAACTGTTGATACCCAGCCCCAACCCACAATACGAAATAGTGATGAAGAGGAAATCACCCGTCTCCTACGTCGATTATGCCTGACGGAAATATTAATCCTACTTCATAATGTGGGAGGAGACTCACATATTCCTTCAAGAAGTGATTCATCTGAAACAAAAGCGGCATGCAATATTAGTGGACGAGATTTAATCGAAACGGTGAGAACTATCTGCCGTGAGGAATTACGTGAAATTCTATCAGAAGCTTTACAACATGCTTCTCTCCAGTCCAGAAATGTCAACACGTAATCTGGTAGTCAACTGCAGAAAAGTAAACCTCCTTCAATTATGTAAATAACAATTTAACTGATTTTGATTTTCTCACATATTTTAAAAGTCATGATTATTTTTGAGCCATAACATTTCACAAATACCGATAAAGAAATTTATAGATATCATTTCTGTTTTGTGAGCTAAAGATAGAGTGTTATCGCTTCACCCATGATTGTGATGCGTTCTCGGCGTTGGGAGTAAAGTACATGAGATATTTAAGTTTTAGTCCGTTGTAAGTGTAATTAATTTTCTTCTCAAGTGAGTGTAATATTTACTGATCTGTTAGACAACTAAATTAAGTGGTCCACCGCTTCTTTCTTGTCACTGTCACCGTCTCACGGATTTAGAGTTTGACTGCAAACGATGGAATGATCACTTGATATTGGGTTAGTATAATTTGCAGTATAATTCGTGCTGTCGTGTAGACATTTAAGCTGTAACTTTGATGCTTTTATAATCATTGTAGTTTCAAACACTCAGAGGTTTCTCAGGACCTGTGAAAAAAAATGGAATCGCTTGACACAGCTAATTTGATGTGACTAGGTTTGTGAAAAATTATGACGGGGGTAGCGTGTAAGAAAATAATTTGTATCGGTAGATATCATTGGTTTACTACTTTTGTAAGTGTCCTCAGATCGATTTTCATGTTAACCATGTCATGTGTTTTTACCATCTGATTGATTGAATAAGTGGGTTCTAGTCATCCACTTCTATTGAACTTCATGTAAATGTACATGTGATCTTCGCGCTGTAATCAGTAAGTGATCACCACTCATTCTCATTGAGCAGAAAAATTAGATGACGTAGTGTATATTGATTGTGAACTCAGTTGTGTGTGTGAAAATCTGTCTTGGTCTTTAGGTAAATCGATGTTCACTCCGAAATTTTTATCCCCTAACCACTAATGACTATGAATTTGATCCTGTGTCTGAAACAAGGACGAATCAGCTTTTTCCGGATATCTGGCGACGTCGTGTCAAGTGGAATAGAAAGTAGGATAGCCAGTTTTAATCGGCACACATTTCGAAGGAGGCAAAAAGAAATTCAATCAAACAGTTATACAAGTAGACGGATATGTAGCGTCTAGTTTCATCGTTAAATGAGCCGGTACCTGCGATATCCTATATGTACTGTAGCAGCCTAAATCTGACTTGTTTACATAAGATGTGATGTCTGTTTGAGTATATATCATGACCAACTTTGAATAATTAACTTACTCGCTCAAATTAGAATAATAATGCTCAGACACAACACGAAAATATGCAGCGTAAATGAAAGAAACATATCGCGACGAAAATATTTGGAGAGTGAGCAAGGGATGAAACTTAACAGTATCCAAGTCTTTGTAATAATTAGTGTTGGCAAACAGTGAATTAGTGAAGGTCTGTTTTGGTCATTTTGTTATTCTGTCAAGAACACTAGTGGGGTTAATTTCAGTGAAGTTAGAGACAATAATTTCTTTATCTAATGCAGTTATTATCATCTGTGTATGTAGGAAGAGTAATAAATGTTATTCCTAAGGTATCTTCAGATTTCTAGGACAGGTGTCACATCGTCTCCGTCGAATTTATTTGGTGTTGACTCGTGAATAAAGTCTTTCCTTCTCCATCTAATTATATCATTTTACCGTCATTGTCTCACTTCCTGACTCATGTTTGGCCAAATGAACTGATTTTTAGCATGAGAAATGAGAATTCATTTAAGGAATAAGTAGGCATGTTCGTGTCAAACACAAAACAGATAAAACTTTCTCCGTGTTCCATTTACACGTGTTGATCAAATAAACTTTTATGGTATGCATTAGGCTTTGGAAATGTACGTATATGATTTCAGGGTCATTTTGTTCCTTAAGCTGGTTTGTTTGAAAACAAAGCTTTCATTGACCAACTAGACATCTTCAGAGTTTACTCTGAAAGACAATGTAAGCTTTTAATTTAAACCATTCAAGTGCGAGAAAACACACAGAAGTTAACAATAAATGTCAGTCAACTTATCTCAGTCCTATCAGTGAAGCTCCATATCCTACGTATTTTGACTATCCAAATAAATAATCAACTTTTTCTACTGCGTGTTAGAATTGGAAGAGATCCACTGTAGATGAGTTATATACGGTGTCGTAAGTGTTTCATATAGATTCGGAAATCTGGAATCAATTTTAAATCACTTCAAATTGATTTTTTGGAGTCAGCGTAACCTTCATAGTCCGTCATAGACATAGCAAACTTAGTGACTAAGCACATGATCTCTATCTTAGTGACTGGATTATTCCCATGAAATTTTCACAGGTGAAGTAACAGGAAACTACTTTAAGTTTGTTGATTAACACCAGTAACTATGTAAAATATCTAATGTTGACTATGGATACTAGCGTTTACATGCTGCTGTACACCGAAGTGCTATTCAAATTATTTGCAGTTTCCCTTCCCTTACCATTTAGAAGATAAACACTTTCAGCTGCTTATTAGAATTGTGATGAGGAAAGGTTCCGCAAAGAGTCTCTTTTCGGCAAATTCATTTTCTTAGCTGTACAATCGCATCTACATATGGGTTATTTTGTGCCCGTGTGTGTGTATACATTAAGGGTTGTCAAACAGAAATACAATTGGTTATGGTTATTTTTACTAAACAGGTGAGAGTTAGTAGGTTTCGGGTGGAGGTACGTAATACAGAAACGGTCAAGAAAATTGGGTGTTAGTGAAACCAGGTGATAGGATCCCACATATTTTGGTATTGACTGTTAATCTTGCATATATGGTATATCATCATTCCCACACATTTTGTTATTGACTGTTAATCTCGCACATATGGTATATTATCATCTCTCACGCACTTTGTTATTGGCTATTAAGATCAATTATTTCAAATGCTGTTAGCTGTCCATATTGTTGTAAAATGTATAAATACCATGGCTTTCTTTGTCGTTGTTGCACTGCAATACACAGTCACAGTCCAGCCTTTGTCTTTTGATATTTGCGTGCTTTACTAAATCGGAAGGTACGACAAGCAGATAGGCAGATTAGTTCAGGCGCAGACAGAACAAGGTGAAAACGTCTTCATTCAATTCGCTACAGCTATAACACCAGGGTAGTAACATAGGTGATGAGTTGTCACAAAGAGTTGTTAGAAAGGAGTTAGGTAATAATGATAATAATGATTTACTTTATTCCAAAAACAGTACTTGCTACCAGGGAATAATCTCGTTGATTTGGAATATGCAGACGATATAGTCCTTCTAGGCGAAGACGCTGACGAAATGCAGAGTCTTCTAAACACCTTGAACAGCAGTCTACGAATGTTTGGCATGCGATTCGCTCCCGCCAAATGCAAGATGATGTTACAGGACTGGACTACATCGACGCCTAGTTTAAAAATAGGGAGTGAAGCGGTAGAGCACGTTGACCGCTTCACTTATTTGGGAAGTACCATCAGCCCCAACGGGCTGATCTCTGACGAAATCTCAGCACGAATACAAGGGGCTCGTTTCGCATTTGTTAGTTTACGCCGTCTCTGGTGTAGACGAGATGTTCGACTATCGACCAAAGGGCGGGTGTACTGCTCATCAGTCCGCTCCGTCCTCCTTTATGGTTGTGAGACCTGGCCACTGAGAGTGGAAGACATGAAAAGACTAGCTGTCTTTGATCATAGGTGCCTGCGTTCTATTTCCCGTGTAAAGTGGCATAATAAGGTGAGCAACATCGAGGTTAGGCGTAGAGTTCTAGGTAAACAGGGGAAATCAATCGACGAAGTCGTGAAGCTACAAAGACTGAGATGGTTAGGACATGTGTTACGTATGCCAAGCCATCGCCTCCCTCGACGAGCTATGTTAGCGGATATAGGGTCAGGCTGGAAAAAAGCTAGCGGCGGTCAAACAAAAACTTGTCATCAGTCAATGAAATCCACAACAGTTGGTCTAAGCCACGTAGAAAGGTGTAGACTTCCAGGCTGGGGTCCTCGGGACGGTAAAAATCTATGGTTGGAAACAATTGGTGACATGGCTCAAAACCGTTCTCAGTGGCGCAGATGCATCCACTCCCTGTGACTTATGATCTCCAATGAAACTGTTTTGTATTTCTTTATTACTCCTTTGTCTCACACCTCTGCTCACTGTTTCTATTATGCTTTTCTTGTACTTTCTTCTCTTGCTTCGCGTGCTACACGGAATGTGGCGACTTGAACTTCCGCACATTTGTGCAAAGTTCTATGTCGAAAACAGACAGAAAAACAGTACTTGTGATACAGAATGGAATTTTCAGCATTAATAAACTTGCAGCTAGTGAAACAGAATGTTGGGCTGTTAACTGGTTACATTCCTATTTCTCAGATAGAAAGCAGTACACCGTATATAAAGGGAAGTCTTCCACTTCATTGCCTACTGAAGCTGGTGTCCCTCAAGGTGCTGTTCTTTCTCCTTTTCTTTTTTCTTTCTTCTTGCATGACTTGCCTCACTCTGATGAAATAAACTTTGTGAAGTACGCTGATGATTTAACGGTTTCAATGGCTGTTAACTCCCAGCTAGATTGTACTAAAATAAATAGCTTTCTATCGGAAGTCAGCAAATGGTCTGAGTCTAACGGTCTTAAACTGAATCCTTCTAAGTGTCAAACTGTTGATTTCAGCTTAAGATGTAAACGACAGTTAAAAGAAGTCATCGATTCTCATGACACTTGTAAAATTGACGACAATGATATAGGAATCAAATCAGAAATTAAGTATCTTGGACTCATTCTCTCTTCTGATCTCTCCTGGTCTTCCCATGTCTTAGCAATCTCCAGTAAAATATTCCGCCTGACATTTTACATTAAGAAGTTAAGACACTCGGGTATAACTCAACCCTTCCTCTTACAGTTCATAAACTCTTGCATCCTACCTATTCTTCTTTATTGTTCACCCTTATTCTTTCCTGGTTTGCTTAAAAAGGACTATGTCACAATTCGTAGAATACTGAAGACTGTCAGTAGGGTGAGTGGTGTCCCAGT